TAACATAGGAATTTGGAGGCCTTGGTTGAATTCCTGAAGATGTGGTGTATTATACATTTTTAGGAAGGGCTTTTGGAGCTTAGAGGTAGTGTGTCCAGGCTCCTGAAAATCTATATATACTGTTGAAAGTGTGACTTGCCAAAGGAAGAACTATACTTTTGAGAAATTGTTTAATCGGTAGTTATCAAACTACCTATTATGCCAGGACCATGGTTCTCAGTTTTTGCATCTAAGATATACTTTGTGTGATGTTAGAAATTTTTGATAGTACATCAAAGATTAAAAGGTGAATGCCTTTTTTTTTTTTTTTTTAAAGCAGGTTTCAGAAAGTTGAAAAACCTGTATATTTACTTGTTCACTATCTGGCATATTACTGTTGGAGTAGAACTATTACTACCCTGACCTTGTTCTCTTATATGCTTTGAGGTGTAAGGTCCATGTCTATTTCTCTGAACATGCAATCTTCCTCTTAATTACAGCAATTTGTGTCATGAGCCACATTGTGTTTCAGTGGTGTGTCTAGCATAGAGCTTCACAAAAGTGTGAATCTTCAGTTGAATAAAAATAAATTCCATAAATTGTTTAAAATTTGATGGCACACTTATTCAGAGTTCCTGGTATACCACTATTCATAGCATGCTGGTTTAGATCTACTTTTAGAAGTACTAAGAGGTTTAAGACTTGATCCTGTGGAATTTATGACTGTCAGACTAACGAGACATATAGTCTGTGAAAAGCTAACAAGCTTAGGTTTATGATAGGTTCAGTCTAAGGGTTCACATGAGAAGTAGAGGAATGTTAGGAGGATTCAGGGAAATAGAGGCTTAACCTGGATCTTGAAGAATGAGTGAATTTGACTAGTACCAGAAGAGGGAAAGAAGCATTTGTCAAGGACGGAGGTAAGCTGGTGCTGGCAATATAGGAGAGGGTATAGGTATAAGAATGAATGTAGAAGAGATGGACTTGGCTGGAGGTTAGCTGCATAGTGTGGAGCCATGGAGGTGAGACTGAATGAGTAGGGTGAATTGACATTTGGAGGCCTTTCAAGGGAGATCTGGGTCTGTTCCATGCTCTCCCTGTGCATGGTCTTGTTCTCGTGCTGCCATGTTCCCTGCAGTCTTACTTTACCCTTCATGTTGGGGCTAGTCCTTGTTCCCTGGCCAGAAGGGTAAGCAATTTAACACCATATAATGATTTTTCATTGATTTTTTTTTTAACCTTAATTGTAGACCATTGCTGCTGAGGCCATTGGAGGGTTTAGTCTTATCACCTAGTATAAATAATTAGAAGTTTCTTGTCTTGGGCTGTTTAAATACTTGTACATTAAAGCCAAATTCTTAATTTTTGTAGAAAGGATGATAGTTATAGACAGTATGGAGGAAAATCTGCTTTCTGGAGAGCAAGAAGTTCAAAGAAATCAAGAGACAGTGTTAAGTTAAAATTCCAAGCCTCCAAGCATCATTTTGCATATCCCGTTCCCTCTCCCTAGCCTAGTTCCCCTTGAGATGGCCTTGTTCTATACTTGTGGATAGATACCCTCTTTTTCTTAATTTCCAAGTCAGCAGAAAGTTATGCTTATGGTAATCATGCCAGTCATGCAAGTAGGCAGCATTGGTGGCATAGAGGGGAATCAAACTTCAAGATGGGGCAGAGAGGGAAATTGATTTGTGATCCAGGAGTTTTCTGATCTTAGAGACCCATACAGGTTTAAACCTCTCTGATACGTTCACACAATGCATTTCTTTATCTCCTAGCCATTTTTCTTCAGACTAGGTTTATTTATTTGCTTTCGGTGTGAGGAGAGGTGAAATGAAAGATGACTATAGATAACTGCCTAGATTAATTTCTGTTCCCCTGGTCTCACTTTATTGCCAAGATTTTAAGGGGCTGTTAGCGTACTGTGGGTGCATGTTGTATTGTTTTTGTTTAAAATAGGTCATGTGCCCAGGAATGCAGTCAAACTATAATGGTGACTAAGTGCCGGAAAGCTGAGAGGGAGGGGGCCCAAGTGGAAAAATGAGCCTGAGGCAAAAGAAGGAGGGCTGGGAAAATGGAAGTTCCACCAGGCCCACAGGCCGAGTTAGAGATTCCTCTATGCATTAACAGTCATGTAAAAGGTTTATTTACAGGGCACCAGTCATTTTTGGAGGGAACACCCTCACTTTATACCAGTAACTGTTGGAGAAACAACCAACCAGAGAGCATTTTAAGGATGGGAACAAGCATCCTTATTGAATTCCCAGGGGCACTTGCTCCTGTCTTCTCTGGCACTTCTGCTGCCTTGATCTAGTGACCCCTTTTGACTGGACTGTGACAGGTCCCCACAGGGAAGGAGGGATACCTGTTTTCAGAGAAAGGGGATTATTTTATTCCTTTTGATTATTTGGTTACTGGAGCCAATAAGGATATAGATATGATTTAGCCACCAGCTAGGAAACCATCAGAGATAACTAAACAAACAAAAGGGATGAAAAAGCTGAGTTTTTAAGTTGCTTTTAATGAAGTACCACTTGGAATGGTTTTAAAAAGTTGAAATTTGATTTGAAGGCTAGGGCCAGTATTTTGATTATGGTGTTCATTGTGGGAGAAGACGCCTGCACCTGCTGTTTGGTAGCGGCTTCTAAAGTTCAACTTTGAAAATTTCTTGCTGCTGTGATCAGACCCTCAGGGCAGTGCTTTGACCCTTAATAAAGTGTCACCAAATGGCAGTTAAGTGACCAGGAATATGAGAGAAGTATTGTCCTTATCCCAATTCAGGAAACATGTTGATTCTTTCCCCCTTGTTTCCTTCCTGTTATGATCCAGAATATTCAATTTTTTGGTTTCACTTCTACCTGGGAACTTAGACCTAACTCAAGAGGAGAGGTTAACTACAAACAATCTCTTCTTTTATATCTGAATGAGATTTGCAGATAAGATTTGACAGAGTCTAATCCTTTTCATTAAGAGTTCAGTTTTTTTGGCCCATCCTGTTGACTATCTTTTACTGTCCTCAGTTCTCTATCTAGCTAGTATAGGTTGCTCGCTAACAATGTGAAACCAAAGACCATATTCATCCAATGGACAAATTCAGTAATATATTTTATCTTTAACAAGTATACACTCAAATCCTAATTATTCCGCTTCAAAGAGTGCTAAGTTTGACATTAGAAGAACAATTTCTAATAGTTAAATTGGTTAGAAGAAAAACATGATTTTTAGATTAGCTTTAGAGATGACACCAATAATGAATATTACATTACATATCTTTATATTTATGTGAAAATAGTTAGCCTTTTTGTAGTGATTTGTAACTTATGCTGTACTTTGTTTTAGTTGCCATCTTTAAAAGTGTGTGAAATACTATCCTCATTTTATAGATGAAGAAACTGACAATTAGAGAAGTTAGATAACTGGATTTGCATCCCAGTTTCCTAAGTCTACATTCTGTACTTTTTCTATAGCTTCATTTAATCTACTCTTTAGTTCAAGGTATATCGAAAGACCTCTCAATGATTATGTGATATAATAAGAAACATTGCTCACTTCCTAAAGTACCAGTTCTATTTACCTTTTCTGACCTGTTATTTATGGGGACAAAATTTTATGTAATGTCTCCTCACCTTTACCTTTATGAATTTGACTTTTAAAATTACCATTCCTTGCTATAGTCATTTCCAAAATAACTATTTTGCATTCCTCACATTTGTCATTTCTAGTAGCAATATATTACATTGCATTATACCATTCTCCCCCACGGACAGATATTTGGGCTATTTCCAGATTTTAGCTCTGATATATAGCGGCAACTATATTTTTTTAAAAATACATTTTCCTTTTGAATTATTTCTTTGTGATACAGTGCCCAAAGTGGGAATGCTGGGTCAGAAACTATCATTTAACAATTTTTCGCAACAGAATTCCTTTCTGAAAGGTTGTACCAGTGCGCTACTAGCAATATATAACCAAACCCAAACCTTTCTATCAAACCAAAGGTAGTGTCTGGTTTTTCACCTTAATAAATGTGAGGTGGTACTTTAATAATTGTTTCAATGTGCATGTCTATAAACCGTTATTGTTGGGGTATGTTTCTCCAGTGTTTTATCATGTGAACATTGTGTGATTGTTCTTATCTGCTGTTGGATATGGATGACAGGGTATTGGAGACAGGATAGTAATCCTGATAAATTTTTAGCAGTACCCTAAAACTTTTAAGTGTTAAAACTTGTACCTATGGTATTAATTGTTAATTTTCTCCACTCTGTTGCTTTCATTTAAATCTTTTTTCTTCTATGCAGTATTTAAAATTTCAATACTTTAAAATCATCTGGTTAAACAACTTTTAAGTTTACTCTTTCATTTTTGGGGAATTATACTGTGATATGAGATAGTAATCTAAATCATTTCTTGTTTTGTTCTATTGATTCCAGTTTTATCAACAGACTTTATGTTTAGGTTTGCAATCTATTTCAACTTAATTTTTTGTATGGTGTGAGGTAGGGGTCAGGGTTCATTTTTTTCCCTGTGGTTCCAGCACTCTTTGTCATCCTTTCTCCATTAGATCGCTTTGGCGTTACTATAGACACTTTAAAGCAGCAGTTCCCAACCTTTTGTCACCAGGGATCAGTGCTCCTATGAGAATCTAAAGCCTGATGATCTGAGGTGGAGCTTAGGCAGTCATGCTAGCCCTGGGAAGTGGCCGCAAATACAGACGAAGCTTCCCTGACTCGCCCGCAGCTTACCTCCTGCTGTGCGGCCCGGTTCCTAACAGGCCACAGATGGGCACTGGTCCATGGCTCTGGGGATTGGGGACCCCTGCTTTAAAGAACAGGCAGTTCTTGGATTTCTTGGTTTTCCTAGTAAGGAGAGAGCAGTGTTATTTCTTTCTTGTCTCCTAATCCCTTCACTTAATATTCAGATATATTCTGGATGTTCCTGAGCCCAGACTTGTAAACCCATGGAGTTTTCTCTGGTTGGCAGTGAGTTGAAGTGACTGGATTGTCTGTTCTGTCTGGACACAGGATGGCCAATGTATCAGTGAAAGAACGAGTGAAGGTGTCTCAGAACTGGAGATTGGGGCGCTGCCGAGAAGGGATTCTGCTAAAGTGGAGATGCAGGTAAGTAGCCACTTGACTTTTTAGGGGCCCAGGTGCTGTAGGCGTAAAAAATAAAAAATAAGGGATTATAAGATGACAGGGTCCTTGCAATCTGTGAGGTCAACCAAGGGTTACCTCGCCTCAAAAATAAAAATAAAATAAAAAAGGATTACAAAATATATATTATGATGAATTTGTATTTTCGAGATTATAAAAATAAATATTTATTGTAGAAATTCAAAAAATATAGAAAAGTTTAAAGAAGAAAATAAAACTCAACCTGTAATCCTACCACCGAGAGATACCTTCATTAATGTGCCTCATCAAAGAAATAAGTTAAGCCAATATTTTAACTTATCTTGTTTTACAATGATTTTTCTGTAAATCCTCTACTTTAGGGAGTTACACCTTTACTCATGGCTTCCTGTATCCCTTTCCTCTACTTTATTAAAAGGCAAAATAGAATCTAAAAGTTTAGGTATATCTGTTACAGGAGGCAGAGCTTAGAAAAAGTGCTAGGTAATTTAGATAATGGCTTCAGCATTGCTTAATGCCATTAATTTTATGCTTCATTGGTGCTAAATTATTTCATAGGTATTATTTGTTTCCCAACCTAAAAAGTACTCTTTGTTGATTGGTTGGAATAGATAGGGAATACCATGATTCCTCATTCCAGGTTGACCTGTACCTATGCTGGTAGATATAGGCAGCCTTCTTCATCTGTTGACACTTTCTCTCTTTCTGTAAAACCAGTTTCTGCTGGTTTTACTGACATTGGTTGCTATGTATTATGTAGTAGTGATGATGGTAAAGAAACTACAGTAGAGAAACATGGATCTTTATGGCAAAGGGCTTTTTCCTCTGCTTCTCACTTTTGCCTTTTAATACCGGAAAGTAAAGTTTATTTCTCTATCAAGGTTTTGTCCTTGGTGTCATTTTCAGCTGGTTTCAAGCAGTTTGGCAAATAAATATACAAAACGGTTACTAGGCTGCCCCAGGATTCTCCACTGTTCACCTGGCATGAACCTGGTTTCTTGTCTTAGGCAATGGCGGTTTACCAGATGACTCTAAACACATGCATTCCAAACCCCTCTGCTTGCTGTCCACTTGAGAGTGCCGCAAACTCATGCAAGGGGATGTTGAAGGGGTATGAGTGTAATGACTAAGAATGCAAGCTTCTATACACATGCTACACATGTTCCATATAATATATGCACACACTTGTAAAAACCTCATGAGCAGAAACTCAGTTACTACAAAGTCCAAGCTGCATTTAATGGCCCGTCAAGTCAATTTGCAGAACTTTTCCACATTCCCATGACGCTTGTATTAAAGAGTCTGGGGAAGAAACACAGCCCAGTTTGCTCAGACAGGCTTGGCAGTGAGAGATGGTGTCTCTGTAAATGGGGATGAATCAGCTGTCCCTATGCTTTGCTTGGGACCTGGTAGCTCCAGGACTCCTATGTAGAGTCGGACAGGCTGCTGGGATGTCTACTTTGGGAAACAGGCTCACTCTCCACAGAGAACCTGGTGTCTGGCAGTCTTCTTTTTTCTTAAGGCTCACTCCGTGCCATAAGACTGGTCTGTGGCTTCTAACCTTTCTTCCTCCTGCTAGATTGTAGAAGGAATCTTTAACTATTTATGGATTTTTAAAAATCAGTTGCCTATGGAGCTGACTATTTCTCTGTGGCCCCTGTACAGTAGTAGACTGCCCTGGGGCTGTTTTTCCATTGCCATGCTTACCCTCTAATACAGAAATGTAGAAATTCCCAGTGAGGATCTTGGTATTTAATCAGTACATTAGCATCCTTTACTAAATGGCTTTATTCCTTTCACTTGTAAATGGCCCCTTTGCTCTAGTAGGAAAAGAGGATGGGGCTTCTCTTTTTTCTCTCATACTCTAAATAATCTGTTGGGAAAGAGGCATATTTGGGAGCCTTGGAACCTTGAAACTTAGTGCTTATACTTCAAATCAGTAAGGAAACAGAATGAAAGAAAATGACTTTACTAGGATGGAAGATTTCTTTTTGCCTCTCCCCATCTCTCAATCATTGCATTTTCTAAGTTCTGCCTAACCAGGAACTCAAGTCTTAAACATTCTCCAATTAAAAGTGATATTCAATTGGTATTTTAATTATGACTCTCTTATATAGTCCACAGAAGATTAGGTCACCACTAAGCTCAATCACTCTAGTTTTCGGAGAGAAGCCTAAGGGTAGGTAATTTTGAAGGAGGGGAGTGAGGTATAGACTTAGCTTTGCTGATTATCCTTGCTAAGTTGGGGATTGGTCAGCCTCTCCAAAGATTGGAGTTGAGTTTTAATGCTGTATCTTGATGATCTTTAAATTTTGTTTTCCATCTCTGCAGTCAGATGCCCTGGATGCAGCTAGAGGGTGATTCTCTGTACATATCCCAGGCTAATTTCATCCTGGCCTATCAGTTCCGCCCAGATGGTGCCAGCTTGAACCGTCGACCCCTGGGAGTCTTTGCTGGGCATGATGAAGACGTTTGCCACTTTGTGCTGGCCAACTCGCATATTGTCAGTGCAGGAGGGTAAGTGCTGCAGGTTTCTCCATCTACTCTCTTCCTTAGGATTCTTCAGGGACCTTTTGCCTGCCTCTGACTTTTCTGTCTCAACTCTAAAGAGATGAGGAGGGAGACTAGAAGAAGGAGTAGTGGTTTTTTTCCATTTAAAGCAGAGAGATTTACCAAAGGCACTTAATAAAGTTAGCTGGAGAAGGAAAACAGGAAGAGCCTTTAATGAAAAGTGAAGCAGGTCTTGATACTCTCAAGGGGGAAATTTGTTTTGTCTGCCAGCTCTGTTCAGCCCCAAGTGTACTGAAGAAGTGGAGGTATCTAGAAGCTCAGAACCTTATTGGATTGAATTGCCCAAAGCTTAGCAATTTTGAATGTCATTGGAGACTTGGGCTGTTTCTGTAGACTTATTCTCTTCCTACAGAGAGAATATTTGGCTATTGGGGGTGGGCTTCTTGTTTCTCTCCTAGGGATGGGAAGATTGGTGTTCATAAGATTCATAGCACCTTCACTGTCAAGTACTCGGCTCATGAACAGGAGGTGAACTGTGTGGACTGCAAAGGGGGCATCATTGTGAGTGGCTCCAGGGACAGGACGGCCAAGGTGAGGTGGTCACCCCCTTACATACTGTTATTCCCCTCTGTCTATAGGGAGTGAGGTGGGAGAGGGTGGATAGGGCCTTGAGTTTCTGGATTGGCTGAGAACATTGGGTGGGGGCGGGGGGGAAACGATATAATAAAGGACTCACTTATGTGCCTCTGGCATGCAGCTTGCCATGCCAGGTTGTGTCCCTGCCAGCTGGCCTGGGAAAGGAGTGGACAGTGGCTGGGAAGCTTGCCACTCACTTGAAATGTGGCATGAACTCAAAAACAGAGGGCCTGGCCAGCTTTTCCTCCCTGAGCTGAGTTTCCTCAAGTTTGTGGGTTGAGTTCTAACCCCACTATTTTATTTTAAAATCTCCTTCATTTTGCTTGATCTCTGTTTAGGGAGGTTAATTTTTCACTACCTTGTTTATAAGCAATCAGGCTGATAATTAAAATGTGTTTTTATTGCTGCTCTGGAGAGTGATGTGGTCAATAAACAGTAGAAAGATGACAAGAGAAGGGTGTTATTTGTTGCGTCATTGCCAAATTGCCTGGTCTATAGTCAGACATCTGCCAAGACCTAACAGAATGAGGCTGATAAGTGGTGTGACCCCTGCTTTATGGACTCAGCTTATCCATGTCTGTGTCAAATAGGCTCTCACCTATGAGAGAAAAGAACTTTCTTCATCCCTATGTCCAGCAGCCCTAGGCAGGGTCCACACATGCCTGGTACTTTGGGGCTGCTGTGGGAAATTTGCCGACAATTCAGTTGATGGTGCAGGGGGCCCAATAGTATCTTTCTTGTCTGTTTCCCAGCATCTGGTGACTTTGTGGTGCTAACAGGAGCAAAATGCTTCTATCAGCAAACAAGTCTCTAAGACACTATAGGAGAGGACTCAGGAGAGGGAAGTTGCAGTCTTCACTCACTAACTTTTCTGACTCCGTGTACTCTCTGATGACTACTCCTTCATGGAAAGTGTTGCTAATTTTATATAAAAAGAAGAGATAAATATTTTCCTTTTTACTTATGGAAGTTTCTCCTCCTTTTGCTGTTTTCTTCCTTACTCTTTGTATTCTGTCAGAGATGTACGTGCCAGCACAGGGAGCCTGAGAAATCTAGAAAATCTTTTGAACCAACATGGAAACTGAATTTCCTGTCTCCAGCTTCCCATTCCCCATACTTACTTCATATTTCGGATTGGTCACTGTCTTTGTGCCATTCCTTGCAAAGAGACTGGCTGTTATTGCTCAAGGGTCAATTTGCGTAGAAACCTTTTGGCATTTGTGACCTAGATAGTCCCATCTCATTATGGCATCTTGTCGTGGCTTCAAGCTTCCCCTGGCACTTCTTTTTTAGTGATATCTCTTTCTTCTATCCTATTCTCTGTGCTCTGATACCTTGAGCAGTATAAAATTAAGCTGTATGACCATAGGTAACAATTCAGGGGTATGGACTGCATACAGTTGAAGAATGATAGCAATTTTATCTGGAATATTGGATTATTTTCATGTTTTTAGTACTGACTCAGCCCTATTTAGTGACTTAGTTCTTTAAAAAAGCATTGAAATAGGTACTATTTAATTCTAAAATTGTCACTGCAGTGTATTCTATTCCTTTTGAGGGTTTTTTAGGTCAGTGACAGAATTCTCCCTACTGTGTTCTGGAAAGATATTTGTTTTATTGGGGTGAAGGGAACTAAAACATTTTCTTTGTAAGACTTCTGGGTAAGGGATTGTTTAGAAAGCCCTCTTCCTTCCCTTCCCCCAACCCTAGTTTCAAACTTACTGTGGTTTAGTTTGGGTCGTCTCTCTGGGTTTTACCATCCTGAGGTGTGATAGGATGGTAGCTCATGTTCTTGGTGGGCCTGGGCTGCTACTGATTATCCCTTCATTTCAATCTTTTTCTCTATTCTTTCATTCATTCTGATGCATCTATACAAGGCACCAGTACTCTTCAAAGAGGAGGCACATATTGTCTCTCTCCTTAAGGGGAGCTAAGACATGTATGCACTGGCTATCAAGGTGATCGGAAGTGGCCAAAGACTAAAGTGTAAAGGGAAAGGGCCAGAAAGTTCGGCGGGTGGAGGGATCACATCTGGCTTGGATCGGGAGACTTTATAAAGAGGGAACATGTGAACTTGGTTTTTTTCCCCCTTCTTTTAGTTATTTTTCAATGCATAGATTTTGTTTGTTTTGTAATGATTTAGAATGAAATTAAGCACTGTGCTAAGCACTTCACATTTATTCATTTTCTCATTTTATCCTTTAGGGTGATTTTTTCTCACATAATTATGCTCATAACATATTTTAGATACCCAGTATACCCAACTCTATCTACTTTATTTTACAAGAGTTTCCATTATTCTTACATATTATTTGTGAGTGTCATTTTTAAGGGCTTCGCAATGGACTTACCATAATTTAGTCACTATTTTTCCTATTGGTGGGTGTTTGTTCCTAGTTTTTTTCCTATATACTTAAGAACCACCATTATTGATGCCTAATACCTACCAAGTTCTATGCTACTATGCAGAGTACTTTATACATATCTTCACTTTTCCATACTGCAACTCCCCAAAATAGATATTATTTCCCATTTTACGCATGAGGAAACCGAGGCTAAGAAGTTTTGAAACATCTATAAGATCAGAGATAATAAGTAACAACTAGGGTTCAACCCAGATTTGTCAGATTCCAAAGCCCATGCGCGCTCTTACTGCTACTGCAGGCTGCCGGGAATATTTTTATCGTTTAGGTTTTTCTTCATTCTAGGATAATTTTCTTAGGATAGAGCCTCAGCAATAGAATTACCAAGTCAAAGGCTTTGGTTATTTTAATGTGTTTTTT